AAAAATTTAAAAATTGGTAAAAATTCACAAACCTGCGGAAAAATGCACGTTTCTTCACTTTAATTTTTTTTGACGAGAGCCTGATTTTCACCACGCTGCCTCACATATTATAGTTTTGTCATAACACATACACATATTATACATATTACACAGACATCACACACATGCTCACACATTTCTTCACATACAATCATACTCTCTTATCATACACACACGGGCGCACACACTCGCACTCATACATATTATACACACTCACACAATTTCACACAAAACAACCCACACACATGGATGTACACACACATACACACACAAACACACACATTCACACACACACACACACACACACATACACACACACACTCTCTCTCTCTCTCTCTCTCTCTCTCTCTCTCTCTCTCTCTCTCTCTCTCTCTCTCTCACACACTCACTCACTTGAAACCACCAGGGAAGATCTTCTTCATGGGCCACCATGTTTCTGTGCCAGAGCGGAGTCCCTTGGGATACCACCAGGAATCATACTGCATATACCTGGTGCAAGGAAACAAACATGTAAAACGTCATCCACAAATGTTTCCATTAGCCTAAATAACAAGAGGAACCAAGCTAGATCGCTTGTCCAAATACTTCCTGGAACATCTCACTGGTCGAGTACCAGAACCTCTGGCAATGGGGGAAAATCTGCGAAACAGAAAGAACACTTTACTCCTGTATAAACACCCCCCCCCCCTTCCTCCCCACTCCTGTGGGAGGAGCTAAATGTTCAAGACCTTTTTGTCTATTAAGGTGTGACAGAAAACTACATTTATCTATTCCTGAATGTTTTTAACGGTGAGCATCCCACCGTCAAGTACTACTTCTTGCGATTTCTTTTCTTTCCACGATATTTTCAGCAGTTTCCTAAGAAACCACATTTCTGGAACCTCCTCAAAGCTCTTAAAACACTCCCTCTACATGAAGTATGGCAGACCAACAGATTTCAGGAATAAAACATGTAGCCTATTCTATTTGTTCTAGTTAGTTAGTTTTAATGAGATTTTACAGCGCTCGCAACTGAATAAAGTCACATGAGCGCCAAGGGGTGGATGTCGGCAGAGAAGTACAAAGGGGTAATCAGTCGGCCCCAAACACTGCACGCTTCTCCGACGCTTCTCCTTCGGTTGCGACGTCTTTCTCCCAAAAAGTTGCATCGCCAAATTTTATTAACGAAGAATTGAATGCACGGCGCTACAGTGGGCGCGAAGCAGACGCAGCGCTGGACAGAGCAGAAAAAGTTCAGCGTATGCACTTGCTGCTGAAATAAAATTCCGAGCGTCTGCTGCGCGGCTGAACTGTTGTGGCGTGATTGTGTAGTGCCTGTAGGGTGTAGTCATAGTGAATTGTTTTATTTTGACTACTACTACTTTGGAGTCAGAGACATTAATACACGCAGTTGAAAAAAGATGTCTTTATGACAAAGCAGATCAAAACTACTGCAACAGGGCCATGATATCGGCCGAATGGAAGAAAGTAGCCAACGAAGTTGGATGCAATGGTAGGAACTTTCTTTCTTTCTTTCTTTCTGTCTGTCTGTCTGTCTGTCTATCCGACTGTTTGTCTGAACGCATGTACACTGTACAACATGTATATTTGTTTCAAACTATAGGCCTACTTTAGCTTATTAAAAGAGGCAAT